TGCTTTGGCTGAGACAACATCTCCAGTTCCAACTTTGAGAATTATCTCGCCTTCTTCCAGCTTCTTCCAGGAACTAGTTTCCTGAAATGAGAAACAAATATGGTTAGTGGCTCCTGAATCAAGTATCCAGGTGGAAGTATCATACTYCACTAAACATGTTTCAACAACTAGTAAATCGTATTTACCTGTCGTTGCTTTCTCTGCTGCTTCATCAATAGTGGCCCCGTTCACTTCAGCAGTATTGAAGTGGACCATCATGTCCAGGACATGTTCTCTAACAGAGGTCCCCTCCTTCATATGCTCATTGTAAACATATTTAAGTGCCTCGTGCCTCAAGGTCGATGAAGGTTCCCCAAACATCGCCTTTAATGAATCCATGATTTCCTTTGCAGTCATCAAGGGTTCATGTTTCTTTGCCAATACATCAGTCATGCTGGCAAGAATGTAGACACGGGCCTTATCGTTGGCCTTGACCCATCGATCAAATGCTTCCCGAACATTTCGGTTGGCATTTGTGGCAGGGGTTTGTGGACATTCCTCAGTTAAGACGAATCGTAGGTCATCGACGACTAGTATCGTATTGAGATTGTTTTTCCACGTTGAATAATTGACCCCGTTTAGTTTTTCCGAAGCTAAGAGTTGAACTATTGAGCTATTCATGCTGAAAAACAAACATACTTTATAGTAGTTTCTAAATCCAATTTTAAGTTTAGCAAATTCTAATAAAGTACCCAATTTTTATTTATATTTGCAACGATACTTCAATGGTTTAGAACAGCCTCCACCGAGAGGCAGTCAACCATTCCTCCATTGAATTAAGACAATCTTGACTAAATGCTAATACCAGAATAACTGTTATTCCTATAGCCTTTAGTTATCGTTTGGTTTGGTCAAGAATATACTAACTCTTAGTAATTCTTGTAAGTGTGACCTTCCACTTTTAGACTTCTAAGATTAGGATCAATATGCTCCCGAAATTGGAAAGTCAAGATTGAAAACGAATCTAAGAAATCCTATCCTTTTAGGAGTTCGCGGTGTTCCGAATCCTATAATACCACCCTCCGATTGGTAAGGTCGCTCCAGGGCAGACATGCAGGCGCATTATAGGACTCTCACGGTGCGACCTAATGGAAGAGACCGTAGGATTTTGTTGACACTAATCCTTCACCCACTTACTATGAACTACTTCCCCTATTCACCCTGTTCATAACCCATGCAAACACTCTCCGAAGGGAGGCCGCTCCTAGGGCGGCACGAAGCCAAGCATGGATCTCACGCTGTGAACTCTTAGGGATGCTAGAGCTAATAGTACGTTACTAATCTCCAGCTAAAGTGTTCTAGACGGTTTTAGGGTATATTTTCACTTTAGGCATATATTCAGGCTAAATAAACATATCCTAAGTCTAGTGATTCATCCAAATGTAACTCTTATATTGGATTTAAACCTACGATGTCTAAGTGATAAACCAATTTTATTACCTCACACCGCTCACGCATGCTCATGAAATTGGTTAACGCAACTCAAGAACCGACTCAATCTCCAGGTAGGGGGTGTTCCGTAAACCGTCAACTTAAATACCCCCAGCCATAGACAAGATTTTATCGGGTGAGTGTTCATGTTTTACCAATTTATGAGTAACGACCTAGTTTTTGCCTATGAAAACTTTTGCATTGGCCATTTAACCCTAAGTGAGCATGCATATTATCTTTATTATGGATTTTAAYGTCTATCTCTTTTATAACACTTATAAACTATAGGCATGCTCCATAACCATACATTCAAATCATAATTTGAATCTATCATGCATACTATACATTATAACTACTTATAAGATATCTCATGCATGATACATGCTTAATCCTATGGTGGGATTTTAAATCTAAATGGCATACATTATGCACATTCAATATAAAACATTTAATTCATACATTCATAATGCATAATTAAATCAACAATTAAATTGGACCGGTTTTGGCATCCTTACAACTAAATTAAACTAAATTATTACAAAATTTTTTTGTAGAAACTTGAACCGACCTCGAACCTCTTCAAACCGGACCTCCAAGAACCCAAACCGGCTTGAAACAGCACGAACCGGACCAAAAAGGGAGGAAAACCGAACCGGGTCGAAAGCTTTGTCGCAGGCGGGTTTGAAGCTAAATTTCAGCCTTTATCTCTTTGAATTTGACCAATATTACAACCTAATTCCAACTCTAATGACTTCGRAAAAAAAAATAATAASAAATAAAAGGACAYAATTACAAGCCAAAAYTAAGAGGATTGYCARAAYCGTAATATATCCAATTTAATTCAACCACAACATTCATCAAATGAATTTGTACCCACCATATGCAAATGAATGTTATTCTAGATGCTCTGATACCACATGAT